GACCGCGCAGGCAGCTTTTCTCTCGGGCGATGCTGCTAGTGGATACCCTGCTCAGGATATCTTACAGTGGGGGCCAATGCCAAGAAACACCCTGCTTGCCTCCAGGGTACCCTGGGTTTCTTCGGTTTCGAGGGCTTTGCGATGGAAAGCGTGGCGTTCCCACCCCAAAACCAACGGACGCCCTGGGGCCTCAGGGTTGGGTTTCTTGTGGGAGGTTTCTTGTGGACTGGCCTTCACTGTGTGCATGGATCGTCGGACGACCTGCCTGATGTGTAAGTTCTGCGGTGACACTGGCACGCCCCAGCACAGGGTCATCGGTTGTCCGGCCACTTGGTTGGCGCGGAGAGAGTTGAATGTGCCAGAACCTAGTGCGGATTTCGAAGAGGTTTCACCATATGATATCAGCACCGCACGATGCCTTGTCCCCAGTCTGGCTTTCCAGGCCACGCCCCCCCGTCTGGATTCCTCGCAAGTCTTGAGCGCTCTCCCCCCGAATGGTGCGTTCACTGGCAATGTTGCGATCGACGGCTCGGCTGTCTCCCTTGGAGTTCTCGCGTCAGAAAGGGCTGGGGCTGGCTGAGGGGTGGTCCGAGTGGATCGCCGCGGAGGCTGGGGATGGTGCCATAGATGGGCCTTTGCCCCCAAAATTGTCCAGCTGTCTGGCTGTGCCGAGGTCTACGCCCTCTTCATGCTGATCCAGAACGCAGGGACTGAGCCCGTCAATGGTGGGAGTGATTGGCAGATGTTTGTAGATATGTGGCATGGCGGTTCCAACCGGTTGTTCAGATAATGCGGCCTACGCTGAGCTGCTGCGCGTCATTACCCGGACGTCCGTTTGAAAATTCGGCCACCAGTTCTGATCCAGAGCGTCAGCGCGAGGCCGTGCACAGCGGGTCTGGAGAGGCAACCGTGAGGCCGACCGGCTGGCCAAGCACGGCGCCAGGATGCATTCGAAATCATGGGCTTCGAAATCATCCTCCTCCCTCCTCCTCCCTCCTCCTCCTCCTCCTCCTCCTCCTCCTCCTCCTCCTCCTCCTCCTCCTCCTCCTCCTCCAGGGAGGCAGGAGGGAGGAGGATGGCTTTTGAATGATTTCGAAGCCCATGATTTCCAGGTTCGGGGCCTAACCGTTCTTCTCGCAGGAGTTCGGGTGGGCTCTGTCCAGGCTGAACTTCAACGATTCTGGTAGCTTCACAACCAAGAGGCTCAGCGCTCGTGATGTGCTCGGGCTTGTGACCGAACCCAGCGGACATGAGATCGTCAAAGTGGACAAGAGATCAGCTTGCGTCAGAAGTGGAATTCGAGAATGGCCGAGGGGTGCGATAATTTCGTTTCCGTGTCTTTGTCCCTCCCCCGGGCCTGCCAGTTTGGTGCACTTTTTCCAACAGACTTTGGAGTGGTGCAGGTGGCCGAGTGTGGTGTTGTGTGTGGGAAGCGCTCGGCTCTAAGAAGGCGGTCCTCCTCGCCAAACCCTGCAACGACGGGCCGAGGAACGAAGCTGCGAGTAACACGGTGGGCCTCTTCCAAGGTGGGATCAGCTCGTCTTCTGGCGTGGAATTCGGCAGGTACTTCGCGTTTAAGCGTGAATGGTCCCTCTTGTGTGTGTGTACCGTGAGTGTTAGTATCCCATCTTGTAGTGCCGCGTGTTGCAGCAGCGGGACGTGGTGCGCCAAGGACCTTGAGGTTTTGATGGGGGAGGGGGGAGGTGGGGGGTTGGGAGGAATGGAGTTGGGTGAGGATGAGGAGGGCGAGGACGACGACGTAAACGACGGCGGAAGAAGAGGACGATGAGGAGGAAGAAAAAGGGAAGAGGACGGCAAGGGCGAGGAGGAGGAGGAGGAACAGCAAGGGGGAAGAGGTTGAGAGGAGAAGGCTGGGAAAAGCTGAAGAGGGGGGGGACAACCATAGGCGACTGGTGGCGCACCAACTTCTTCTTCAACATCACCGTCGGGGAGCTGGTAAGCATCCAGGGTAACTATAATGCAAGAGCGATCAACAGCTGGGGCGCTCCACGGGGCTCTGCACTTCAGGTCCGAAGGAGTTGACCTCCTTTCCTCGGCCGAAGCTGGCGGATCGTTGGCGGAAGCTAGCGGAAGTAAAACGGTGCGGGGTCCACCAGAGGAAGCCAGCGGAAGGCCGGAGGAGGTTGGCGGGAGTAGAGTTCGCCTCCCGAAGAGATGCCAGTTCGTTTGAGTGTAAGGGTCCCCAGGGTAAACCAGCTTTTGTGCAAGGGCGATCCCCCGTTTCGTTGCGAACATTTTGACACGATGCTGAGCACTGTTGATCTTGCTGGCCCAGACAAGACTTGGATACACACGCGGATTTGCGTTTTTCCAGCGCCCAGCATCTGTCCAGCAAGGTACGCGGGATCTCTGTGCCTGCGAGCGGCGTCTGCATGCTCGGCGTGTGAATCCAGCAAGCGGCCGTGTTTGCTTCCTGTTCTTTGTTGCGTAATGGATTGTAGGCTTTCCAGAATGATTCTTGTACGATGCAGAGTACGTGGGCAATCCTTATCAGTATCCTCCCTACGAGGGCACGTTGTGTCACATCTTTGCTGTGGGCTGCCCCTGCAGGTAGGAGTGGGCCGCCTCTCGTCGCCGCGGGTCCAGGAGCTGATCGATATCATGCAGATCAACCTCTCGTGGCGCATCAATGCCATCTCCGACGGGCAGCGCCGGCGCTGCCAGTTGCTGGAGTGCCTGGCCGAGGAGAAGAAGGTGCACGTCCTCCGAAACATGTTCTGCAACGCTTTGCCACTATCATGTCGCACAGCCAGCTGTTGCAGTTACGTATGTGTCGCGGTCGTCGTTCAATCTAGTTTCGTTGTTCATCGGGTCCGACGCGATCTATCTGGCATCCAATGCATGGGCAACGGGAACGCCATCCAACCAACATAGTATGGCACGCAATGGAATCTCGCATGTAATTCCAGACGCTTCGCGTTACCCCTCCAGCCCATCCAGAAACGATGCCCAGGCGAGTTGCCCTGACCAGGGATGCGGACGAACACGCAGTGGAAGAAGTTGGTCGGGAAGCCGTTATACTCCAAGAGGGGAATGTTTGAGGAGGAATCGGAGAAGGAGGAGGATGAGGAGGAGGTGGAGGGGGAGGATAAGGGGAAGAGGGAGGAGGCAGGCTCAGGAATAGTAGGCGGATGAGAAGGAGGAGGAGAAGGAGGAGGAGGAGGAGGAGGAGTGGGGCAAGCATAAATGCCAGATGTCTCTTGGATGTCACTCGCAGTCTGTTCGGACGTCTCGTAAGAGCCTCGCTGGGACCTCTTGGGGTGTCTTGGTGGACTCTTGGCGGTCCTGGTGGCCTGTTAGGGTTAAGTCGGGCCTGTCATCCTACAAGGGGAATATTCAAAAATAGTCAACAAATAGTCGGGGGACGATTTTGTTTGTATTTTTGAATGCTTTTGAATATTGTTTAAGCTATGTTTAATTCTTCACCCAGGTCCGACCTAATGTTAGGGTAGGGCGTCCTGGGCGCCTCGGGGGAGCATCTTGAGGGTTCTTGGGGGTCTTGCCTGGGTCCTGGGAGCCTCTTGGGACCTCTTGGGGGTCTCTTGCAGCCCAAGTCGGGCCTGTCCCTCTAAAGGAGGAATGCAGGAATGCTCAAACATTGTTTTTTGTTTTTAAAAAAATGAGTCAGGGGACGATGTTTCGACTATTTTTGACAGTTTTTGAATATTTGTTTTGACTATTTATAATTGTTCGTCCAAAATCCGCCTGTGGGGGGACCCGCCCGATCTAATTGTTGCCTCCTGGACTCCTCTCGGGGCCCTCTTGTGGCATTCATTGAAGTATTGGGGACCATGTTGGAGCCATCTTGGAGGAGCTCGATCAAAAAGGGGTGGAGCCTTAATTGTCGTTCCCCCCCAGGAGGCCAAAATGGGTTTAACACCTGAGTAAAACCAGTGGTTTTTGCTTTCTCGCCGAGGTATTCTTGGACCATCCAGTCGGCCGCGGGGCGCCCCGTTCATGTCCAGGGCAGGGTGCAGGAGTAGGGGCAAACCCTTCCCCGAAGGTGAAGAAAGGGGGCTGGAAGATGATGTTCCCTAAACCTGGTGAAGCACCAGCGCTGAGCAGCTACGGGTGGCGCAGACGATGTCCCCTCTCGAGAGGCGAGCTTCCAACAGGGGCCGCAAAGCGCGTGTGGGGTGCGCCGGGACGACGCGGCACCGCCCGACGTACGACCTCCCATGGGCCCACCAGGTGGAGCTGCCGGTGAGGCCACGAAGCGCGCGAGGGGCGTGCCCACGGGAAGCGGTCGCGAGACACGGGGCGCCCTCGCCCGGGGGCGCAGGCGGAGCCCCCTGTGTGGGGCCACGGCGCGCGCGAGGGGCGTGCCGACACGAGGCGTTCACGCCATGCGGGCGCCATCGCTGTGGCCGTCCGTGGGGTCCCCTTTTGTGGAGCCACGAAGCGCGTGATGGGCGGTCTGCCCAAATCAAGCGATCGCGCCACACGGGCGCCCCTGGGGCCGCAGGTGGAGGCCCCCCCATGTTGCCACGAGGCGTGTGATGGGGGTGCGCCGAAAGGAGGCGGTCACGCCACGCAAGCGTGCCCTCCATAGGGCCGCGAAGCGTGTGAAGGGTGTGCCCACGTGAAGCGGTCACGCCAGACGGGCACCCTCGCTGGGTCGGGGTGGAGCGTCTTATGGGGCCACGAAGCGTGTGAGGGCTGTGTCGAAATGAGCCGTCGCCGCCACAGGGGTGCCTTCGCTTGGACCGTGGGTGGAGCGAGATGAGCAGGCGGGAAGCAGCGGCAGGAGCAGGAAGAGGAAGAGGAGGAGGAGGAGGAGGAGGAGGAGGAGGAGGAGGAGGAGGAGGAGGAGGAGGAGGAGGAGGAGGAGGAGGAGAAGGGGGAGGGGGGGAGGAGGGAGGCGGGATCGAGGAAGGACGCGGGGCGCCGCTGATTCAGAACGAGGACCTGACAACCAGGAGGGCTGAACACACACACACAGGTGTACGTCCTTGACGAGATCACTACGGACCTGGACCTCTACGCCCGCGAGGGCCTGCTGGACTTTCTGAGGCGCGAGACGGAGATCCAGGGCAGAAGCCGACCCTTTGTACCCAGCACCCTTCACATCCCCACCCCTCCTCATCCCCCTCCCCCACATCCCGGTTCCTCCTCGTCCTCCCCTCTCGTTTGGTGGTCCCCAAACGTGGTGGTGAGAACACCCGGTGGTGAGTTTTGGGCGATTTGGGTAATGGTTTTCGAGCGCTGGCTGGCCCAGGAAACGCAAAACCTCGTGGCGATCGCGTGTCCCCAAACCCGGTGGTGACCCAGAATTATTTTTGGGGAGAATCGGGGTCACCACCAGGTGTCTCACCACCTGGTTTGGAGACCACCAACTCTTGTTGTCTTCCTCCTCCCAGCCCGTTCCGTCGGGACTACCCCTGAGGGCCTGGCCTGCGTGCGTGCGCCGTCCTGTGGCGGAGCGGGGGGGAATCCTCGGGCGCCTCTCCACACGGCGTCTGCACGGTGCCGGCGCTGTTGAAAAAAACGGCGTCCAAACGCTTTCGCCCCTCAGGATCCAAGCGTTGCAGATGTGTGTTTGTATTGCCAGGTCAGTTGACGAGGGATCCGATGAGCATGTCTGTCGGTCTGTCTGGCCCGTCTTGTCTCCCCTTCTCTCCCTCCTCCTCCCTCCTCGCCTCTTCCAGCTCCCGTGCCCGCTCCTCCTCATCAGCATCGTCATCAAGAGTGCCTAAGTCTCTTGACATGCTGCATCGCGACGATGCGATAGGTACCATGCGATACATCGCAGGCCTCGGGGTTGACACCAACACCAATATCGGCGGTGTGCCTCCACCGAGGGAAGAAGATCCCGATCTCGGTTACGGTGGTAATATTATGGCTTTCAAGGAGACCGAAATATTACCACCAACACCGAAATCTAGGATCATGTTTCCCCTGTGGAGGCAAACCCCTGTGTTGGTGTTGGTGCTCATCCAGGCCTCCAAATACAGTCGAATATCCGATGAAGAAATCTCCCGAAAAGCTGGGCCAGCGTTTCTCGACCAGCTTGCCAGAGAGCTGGCCCAGCTTCTTGAGCACGTTAGCGCCTCCAGCGTGACCAACAGAAGTTTACCCACGCTTGTGTTCGGAAACTTCCGGGAAGCTGGCCCAGATTTCTCATATGACGAGTTATTGAGCATATTTCTTGCTGTAGCTCGCGAAATATTGTGCAACGTCTCCGTCCCCCCTTGCTCGTCCCTCATGCCTCTCCCCAGCCCCCCCCCCCCGGGACACACACACACACACACACACACACACAGACACACAGACACACACACACACACACCACACACACACAAACACACACACACACATACGCTTCCATTCTTCTCCCTGGAGGTGACACTGGGGGAAGCCCCACGTGCGGCCGTAGCGACAAATGGAAGTTGGTCCTTCTAAGCCTCCATCTTTCTCTTTCACAGTTACATCCTTCTCTACCGCCTCGCCCCCATACTAGTACTACTCTTTCTCGTAGGGAGTCGCATTGTCGGGTGGTCGAACGTGCGAGAGACAGAGAGAGAGAGAGAGAGATCCCGTATAGCTCTGGCGGGGCGCTATGCGAAATGGGGAGCCGATTGAAAACTCTTCCAAAAGACGCATTCTTCGATTGCGAGGTAAAGCGAGCATCTTTCCACATTCATTTCACATTTCAGTCCATTCGCTGAACATGTGTTTTCGGTTTCCCAGGTCCCAGTCTAGTTTTCGCGTCTTCCTCTGTTAATAGTTCATGGCGTCGTTTTTGTAACCTCTTCCTTGAGCGGGCCAGAATCCAACACACTTAACCGCTCTCCTATTTCATTGTTTGTATGTCCTTCTTCCAGACGGCTTGTACGTATCGCAGCTCTGTGACTGCAGCCTTGAGACCCCGCAGGAAAGCAAGGGCGCCACCGTCTTCTACGCCACGCACATATTCGACTCGCTGTCCTCCTGGGCCACGCACTGCGTGCACTTCGCGAAGGGCAAGATCGCGAGGCCCTGGATCTCCCCGTCCAGCTCTTCTGTCTCTTCGTCCCAGCTTGCTCCCATCTCCTGTTTTCTCCTGTTTCATCCTCCTTCCTTTCTCCCCTCTGCTGCTCTTCCTGCTGATTTTCCTCATGCTGCTTCTCATCCTGTTCTCCAGGTCCTGCAGGATGGAGGAGCTGAAGGAATTTCACGATCTGGTTGCCAGTGGCGCGCGCACCCCGCTGTATTCACTCATGAAGGAGTGGGTGCTCCAGGAGTACACTCCGCCGAAGGCACCCAACGTGCTGGACGGGGCACCCGTGGTGCCGGAGCCTCAGTGCCCGACGCTTGAGGTGACAAATCTGCAGTTTTCTTACATTCCTGGCGCCCCGCTCAACGTGCACGGAGCCAGCTTCAGCTTCACCCGGGGCGCTCGCATCTTGGTGGTGGGCGCCAACGGCGCTTGCAAGTCCACAGTCATGTCCATCCTGGGAGGCAAGCGAATGATTCCGCGCGGCTTTGCAAAAGTCATCGGCAAGGATTGTTTCAACGACCCTGCGAGTGGCAAGGACGTGATGTACTGCGGCGATTGGTGGAACACGAACTTCTTTATGAACCTCACGATCCGCGAGCTCCTCGGAGCCAAGGTCGTTGATACGCCGCGTTGCACTCACCTGGCGGAGATCTTGCAGGTCGACCTAGACTGGAAGATCAACAGCGTCTCGGACGGGCAGCGCCGACGGTGCCAGCTGCTGGAGATCCTGGCCACGCCGCGGCCCGTCTACCTCATGGACGAGATCACGTCCGACCTCGACATCTCGAAGAAGGAAACACTGCGTAAACATGAGCTTACGGAGGTCCACGCGGATCTCATGGACATGCGCTGGGCCCACCCAGGCGGCGCCTCAAGGCGCCACCCCCGGCGCGCTCTCGCGCGACGGGGAGGGGTGTCCAGAGCCGATCCACGAACTCCGCGCTGACCTCGGACAGCCCATGCATGTTCACGCAGCGCTTCTTCTTCTTCGGACGTCTTCGCACGTGAGGGCATCCTGGGGTTCTTGAAAGCCGAGTCCGAGCAGCGTGGCTGCACCATCTTCTACTGCACGCACATCTTCGACGAGCTGGAGGGCTGGCCCGACCACCTGCTGCACCTGTCGAAGGGCCGCGTGGTGCGGGCGTGCCCGTTTAGCGAGGTCCAGGAGTACCACCAGCTGTGCAGTGAGGGGTGCAACACGCCTCTCTACTCCACGGTCAGGAGGCTCCCGGGGGCAAGGGGGGCAGCACCGACGGAGGAGGGAGCAGGAGGAGACACGTGGGAGGGGGAAGAGAGAAAAGCGAGGATAGAAAGGGTAGAGGAGGAGGAGGAGGAGAAGGAGGAGGATTCTGCTGGATTCTGCTGGTCGAACGAGCACGATGTCCCACGGAATCGCGCCGCGGGTCGTCCTGGCCGCATCGGGCCGGAAGAGGAGGAGGAGCAGCAGGAGGAGGAAGAGAGGAGGAGGAGGAGGAGCAGGAGGAGGACGAGGAGGAGGACCAAAACAAGGACGGGGAACCGGAAATGAAAGTGGAGGAGATGGCGCAGGTTGCGAAGGAGGAGGAGGAGGAGGAGCTGGACGAGGAGGAGGAGGAGAAGGATGATGATGATGATGCTGATGATGATGATGATGATGATGATGATGAGGAGGAGGAGGAGGAGGAGGAGGAGGAGGAGGAGAAGGAGGAGGAGGAGGAGGAGGAGGAGGACGAGGAGGCGGAGGCGGAGGAGGAGGCGGAGAAGAGGGACGCAGGCAGGCTCTCAAGCAACGAGCGGGGGCACAGGGCACGGGGAGTGCGCTCAGCTGCTGCTGCGGGGCGACGCTGTCCGGGGCCATCCACCAGGGCCTCCCTCGTGAGTCTCCAATCTTGCCCCGGGACCTCCAGAGAGCCTCGAACACATCGAGCCTGAAGCATTTGGGGCGTTGTCGTCCTTCGGAGGCAGTGCTCGGGCCCTAGGGCCGTCAAACAACAATTCGGGGTGAAAAGCCAGAAACTGGTAAGAGATCTAGATGGCCCGGGCCCTGAGACTTGAATATGTAGAGCCCTCGGAGGTCTAGGTTATTTTCCCTTCATACGCGCAGAGGCGCAACAGTTGTGTCGGATCCGAGGAAATAGGAAGAGGTGCGTTGTTTTTGCAAGGAGGGCCTGCATACCTTCTGTTCGGTAGCATCTCATGGAAGCCTGTATACCTTCGCACTTCCGTGTTTAGAGTGCGTTAGTGTCGATATGCGTTTGGTTATGAATTAGATAGCGGTCATTCAGTGATTTAGTGTCTGGCGAATGATATCGCAGGTCGGCTCGTGAGTTGCACCTGGTTTGCCTGGCGACTCTTTGAATCGCATGGCAGCTGAGATGTGCAGCGCGGACTTCCTCTGTCACGTGCTTGTATGGAACAAACAACGGGATAGCGCCAATGTAGCGTCGGCTAGCGTCGATTTAGCGTCAGCTGGCGTCGATTCGCGTCGCCTCGCGTCGCCTTGCGTCGATTGGCGTCGATTCGCGAGAGCCAACAAGACGATGGCCTGGGAAGCCCCCTCGAGCTGCCACCGAGAGCCCTCTGAGACCCGCCTCTGCCCCCCCCCCTCTCCATGCGTAGGATACTCTCGACGCGAGGCCGTGCTGTGCCGTGCTGCACCCTGCATCGCGCACCCTCTCGGGGCTGTTGCCCTGTTCGACACCCGAGCGTGCGAACAGAGAGGGGAGATCTGCGCTGTGGTGAAGGACGTCGGATGTGACGCTTTGCGCGCCCGGCCTGTCTGCCCCCCCCCCCATCTCTTCTCCAGGCCTCCGACGCCACGGCCCGTGCTTTCTCCTGCGGGGGCTCTCTCCCGAGTTCTCGGACCCCATCCCTGTTTTGGACGTCGCGCCATGGGGGGGGGAAGCGATCAATGGATGGGCAGCGAGGGCTGCAGACGAGAGGACCTGCAGGGCCCTCAGATGAGCCCTCGAGGGCCCGAGAGGGGGTCTCTAGGGTCCGAAACATCCACCTTTCTTCACCCCTCCTTACGTATCGCCCCCCCAACGACGCGACGCCCAACCCAGGGGGGGGGTGGTCTCGCCGCGGCGCGGCTTGGCTGGGGGCCCCGGGGCCCGAGGTTGGCCCCTGGAGGCTGAGACAGCCACAGAGAGAGAGAGGGAGAGAGCGCCCGCCGCGTGGTCAGGAGGCTCCCGGGGGCACGGGGGCAGCAGAGGCGGAGGAGTGGGCAGGAGGAGAACTGATCGGCGGGGGGGAGTAGAGAGAGAGAGATATCTATATAGAGAGAGAGGATAGATCAGGAGGAGGAGGAGGAGCAGGAGGAGCAGGAGGATGGATGAGGAGGATAGAGCGCCCGCCCTCCCGCGAAGCCGCCCCCCCACGCTCCTGCAAGGCAGCCACAGGGGAAGCGTTCGGGGGGTCACGCGCCCTCCCTCTTCCTGCTCCTGCCCTCGGCCCTCCTCCCTCCTCCTGCTCCTTCGTTTCCTGCTCCTCCTTCTTCCTCCTCCTCTTCCTCCTCCTCCTCCTCCTCCTCTTCCTTCTTCTCCTTCTCCATCTCCCTCATCCTCCTCCTCCTCGTCCTCCTCCTCCGCCTCCACCTATCGACCTCCAGCCTCCACGAGATCAGCACCCCGACGTTCAGCCTCCAACATCCGGCGTCCCACTTCCACCTTCACCTCTTCGGACCACCAGCCTCTACGAACCCAGCACCGCGGCATCCAACCCCAGCGTCCGACACCCCACCTCCACTTCCTTCTGTCGACTCCCAACCTACACCTTCTGTGCACCCCAACCTCCAGCCTCCAGCATCCGATGTTTCATATCCACCGCCGCCTATCGGCCACAAGCTTCCACCAGCTGAGCATCAGACCTCCAGCCTCCAACATCCGACGTCCCGCTTCCACCTCTTTCGACCTCGACCTCTCACCCACACAGAATTCCGAGCTCGAGACTCCACCGTCCGACGTTCCACTCCCACCTCCATCCATCCAGCTCCAGACTACACCAGGTCAGCACTCCGACATCCACCAGCACTCCGACCACACCATCAGTCGACCAGGACGACTCCTGAGGGCTCCAGCCCCCCCCGCGCCGCCCTGCTACGTAGGGCCTATCCCGCAGGGCCGACACCGCGCGCTACACTCCGCTTCGCTTCGCTTCGCTTCCTCCTCCTCCTCCTCCTCCTCCTCCTCCACCCCCCTCCTCCTATTCTCGGTCCTCCTCCGCGTCCTCCTCCTCCTCCTCCTCCCTCCTCGTATATTCGATCCTCCTGTTCCTCCTTCTCCTCCTCCTTCTCCTCCTCCACTGGGGCTACGGAGACCTGCGCTGAAGTGCCCCTCCAGGTGGATCTACGCGGAGTACGCCGAGTCCGAGGGGGCGCAGCCATGGAGGGTGGCAGACGAGAAGTCCATGGCGGACGGGCGCATCCCCAACCTCGGGCTCGCAGGCCCCTTCCAGACGGCCTGCGGCTGAGCGGCGGCGCGAGGAGCAGGAGGGAGAGAAGGAGAAGGAGAAGGAGGATGATGATGAGTAGGAGGAGGAGGAGAAGGAGGAGGAGGACCGAGGATACGAGGATACGAGGATACGAGGATACGAGGAGGGAGGAGGAGGAGAACCAGGATGAGGAGGAGGAGGAGGAGGAGGAGGAGGAGGAGGAGGACAAGGAGGAGGAAGAGGAGGAGGAGGAGGAAAAGGAAGGAAGATGAGGAGGAGGAGGAGGAGGAGGAGGGTCACGATTCATCATCCATGAGCTGCTGCCACGTCTTGAAGGATGGCTACGACGTGGGGCCCGTCGTGCGGTCAGGGGGAGGAGGCAGGAGGCAGGACGAGGAAGCAGGAGGGAGAGGAAGTCTCTCGGGTGGCTTCAGTGGTTTCTGGGCGGTGTCCGGATCCGCTCAGGGGGGAAGGTGGGAGAAGGAGGATGGCCACCACGTCAGGTAGGACGAGGAGGCAGGAGGATGACGAGGACGCTAGATGGGTGAGGAAGTCTTCCAGGTGCTTCTGGGTGATTTCTGGACGGTGTTCGGATCCGCTCGGGGCGTACCGTACTTGCCAGCTGTCAGATGTATTTGGAGGTTTCCAGATGTTTCCGAAGGCGGATGAGGAGGAGGTGCAGGATGCGAACGAACGGGGAGAAGCAAGCTTGCCAACACACACACACACACTCACAGTTGTGATCACGCAAGGCCGACCGAGCACAAGAGTGACGCACGGAAAGTGCAACAACTTGTTCTTGGTTGAGCGCTCACCTCGCACGTGAGCGTGTTTGGTCGCGCGTGCCTCTGACGCCGCCTCCCGGGGAGGGCAGATGGGGCGAGGAGCAGGAGGAGGCGAGGCGACGAGGGGCAGTTGACGAAAGAAGGAAGGCGCCGGGAGGAGGGAGGAGGCCTGATGCCCGAAGGCAACCTGCCCAGGCATGATGGGGGGGGCCGCGCGGGATCTATATATACATATATATACACATATATATAGACATACATACATACATATATACATACATACATACATACATACATACATACATACATACATACATACATACATATATATATATATATATATACATGTACTTATACATATACATATATATATATAGAGAGAGATCGTTTTTTTTTCGATCGGGGGGAGGGCCTCGGCATCCGGGCGTCGTAACAAGACCACGACGGGTCGTCCCGCTGCGCCCTGGGCCCAGAGGAGACCTCACGGACCGGGTCGCTTCGAGGGCCCAGGGGGAGGAGGGATTCGGATGCAACTCCTGGGGGGTCAAATTCTGATTTTGCTCTGGTCCGAAGTCCGGCTTAATCCCGCTTAATCCCGCTCAATCCGGCTTAATCACACTCAATCCCGCTTAATCCGGCTTAATCCGAGCCCACTCCGGCGTAACAGCCCCCTATTGGGGCTTAATCCTCTTTAATCCTTCCGACGAAAACCTCCCAGTAGTTGCCTCCTAAGAGGGAGGGGGGGGAGATGGGGTTAGGTCGGGCGTGTCCCTCTACAGGAGGAGTATTCAAGAATGATCTAAAGATAGTCTGGGGACGAGTTGTTGCGTTACATTTGAGTCCGTTTGAGGATTTCTGGTGTCTTTCGTATTTCTCGTCCAAAATCCGCCTGTAGGGGGACACGCCCGACCTGAAGATAGGGAGGATATACGAGAAGCGAACAGAAGACATCAGGAAAGCACATGATGTAAGAGGAATTTCGAGAAGGCAAGGGCAGAGAGTGACTAGGAGCTCTGGCTCAGCGTGTCGCGCCGCCGGTTCTGGCCCACCACGCTTCGGCGCGACACGCTAACCACGTCCTGGTCCTCAAGCGTCAACGTCCCGAGCTGCTCCCAGCCTCCTGTCCCGGCGACGCGCTATCCGCTTGCAGGGCATAGCGTGTTGCCAGGGCCGCTGCCGCGACGCGCTGAGCAACAATCTCCAACCGTATGCAAATGTTTTTTACCTAACAGCGTAGACTGATAGGTTTCTAGTTGACTCAAAAGAGCTCACAGATCACTCCACAGGGGGGTCCGGGCAGGCGTTGGGAGTTGCCGGCCGGGCCTGTGCCGGGCTCGTTTTTCACCAACAGTCATACACTTCGTGCTCGTCGACCTCTCAGAACCCCATTCCCAGGCCACATTCTGAATAACCGGATGCAACAGTCACACACTTCGTGCTCTTCGACTTCCCAGAACTCCATTCCCGGGCCACATTTGGAATGCCCGGAGCCAACTGTAGGCCACTTCGTGGTCTTCGAGTTCCCAGAACTCCATTCCCGGGCCACATTTTGAATGCCCGGAGCCAACTGTAGGCCACTTCGTGCTCTTCGAGTTCCCAGAACTCCATTCCCGGGCCACATTTTGGATGCCCGGAGCCAACTGTAGGCCACTTCGTGGTCTTCGAGTTCCCAGAACTCCATTCCTGGGCATGAATTTGAATGCCCGGAGCCAACTGTAGGCCACTTCGTGTTCTTCGAGTTCCCAGAATTCCACTCCCAGGCCACATTTTGAATGCTGAGGCAGGCTGAGGCTGAGGCTGAGGCAGGCTGATGCTGAGGCAGGCTGAGGCTGAGGCCGAGGCCGATGCAGGCTGAGGCTGAGGCAGTCTGAGGCTGACGCCGAGGCTGAAGGCAGACTGAGGCTGAGGCTGAAGCAGGCTGAGGCTGAGGCTGAGGCAGGCTGAGGCTGAGGCAGGCTGAGGCTGAGGCTGAGGCAGGCTGAGGCAGAGGCTGTGACTGCGACTGCCGTTGCCACTGCGACTGTCATCGCGAATGCGACTACGACTGCGAGAACAGCAGAATTCTACAACTGGATTCTCATCTGAATCTTAAGGGGAATGCTTCCAGATATGCTCCTACACATCGCTGTTAGGTTGCTTTGCCGGGATAATTGTTATCCGTCAAGGGCTTCGCCCCCTGCCGCCAGCCCCATTTCCATCATATTTGGATATATCGGAGTCGCGTCGGGGCGTCTCGGCGCTGCCTTGGCGCATCTGGGAACATCATGCGGGGGCGGATAGGAATCATCAGCGCCTGTTGAGACGTCGGCGTTATCGAAGACGCCTACGGCGAATCACCGCCGCCCCCTGCCCTGTTGGAAGCGCCTATGTGGCCGAACGTTGAGGCCAGATCTGCCAAGCTATCGGGCCATGTGTTCCCCGAATCGGTTTGGAAAGCCGTCGGGGAACACGTGGGCATCTTGAAGGTCCTCTTGGCCGTCTTGAGGCCATTTTGACTCTTTCGGGCCTTCTTGGAGGACGTCTTGGAGGGCTCTTGGGCCGTCGTCGAGGCCATCTTGAGCGTCTTGGAGGCCTCTTGGGCCGTCTCGGGTGCCTCTTGGGGCCGTCTTGGGCCTCTTGGGCGATATTTGGAGGCTCTTGGGCCGTCTCGGGCCGTCAGAAGGCCGAACAAAAAGCAAATGCCACAATCTTTCAAACACGAATGGGAAATCAATGATTTGGGCCTTTTCGGGCCCTCGTGGGCCGTCTTGGGCCATCTTAGGGCCATCTTCGGCCGTCTTGGTGGGCTCCTGGCCCGTCTGACGCCGTCGGAAGCCGTTGGGCGGCCTCTCTGGGCCGATTTGGGGCCCTTTTGGGGCGTCTTGGAGGCCATCTTGGGCGTCTTAAAGGCCTCCTGGGCCGTCTTGGGTGCCTCTTGGAGCCATCTTGGGGCCTCTTGGGCCGTTCTGGGGCCATCTTGGAGGCCTCTTGGGCGATCTTTGGGCGATTTTTAGCGGCTCCTGGGCCGTCTCGGTCCGTCGGAAGGCCGAAACGAAGCAACTGTCAAAATCCTTCAAAAATCTTAGGAACATCCGTGTTTAGGGCCCTTTCTGGCTTTCCTGGAGGCCCTCTTGGAGGCCTCTTGGGCCGTCTTTGGCCAGCTTCGAGCCAACTTCGGCCATCTTGGTGGGTTCCTGGCACGTCTGACGCCGTCGGGAGCCGTCTTGGTGGCCTCTCAGAACCGACTTGGGGTCCTCTTGGGGCGCGTCGGGGTCGTCTTGGAGGCCATCTTGGGCGTCTTGGAGGTCTCTTGGGCCGTCTTGGGGCCGTCTTGGAGGCCTCTTGGGCCGTCATAGGGCCCTCTTGGAGGTCTCGTGGGCGATGGTGGGGCGATCTTGGCGGCCTTTTGGGTCGTCTTGAACCGTCGGATTGCCGAGAAGAGGGACATGCCAAAATCCTTCAAAAACCCACGGACAATCTATGATTTTCTTCTTCGGGCCCTCCTGGAGCACCCCTTGGAGGCCTCTTGGGTCGTATTGAGGCCTCTTGGGCCGTCTTGGGCCATCTTGAGGCTATCTTACGCCATCTTGGTACATCTTAGGCCGTCTTGGAGGCATCTAGGGGCCATCTTAGCCGTCTTGGGGGCCATCTTGGCCGTCTGGGATGCATCTTGGAGGCCATCCTGAGGTGTGAAAAACCCTTTGGAGCCCAGTCCGGGCAAATTTTCGGCATCCTTTCGGGTGGCCGGCGGGACGCGCCGGAGCCCCAGGGGGAGTTCTTTTGGAAAAAGAACCAAAACCCAAAACGACAGGATTCAGCACGCCAGGCACATCTGTAATGAATCAACAGGGGGCGGCGGATCGAAGACGCCTACGGCGAATCACCGCCGCCCCCTGCCTTTTCGGAAACGCCTGTGTGGCCGAACGTTGTGGCCAGAGGCCTGCCAAGCTATCGCATCATGTGTTCCCCGAGTCGGTTTGGAAAGCGTTCGGGGAAAACGGTGGGCGAGGCTGGGCCGGCTTGGGGCCCTCTTGGGGTGCTCCAGGGCCGTCCTTGGAGGCCATCTTGGGCGTCTTAAAGGCCTCCTGGGCCGTCTTCGGGGCCTCTTGGGGCCGTCTTCGGGGCCACTTGGGGCCATCTTTGGCCATACTGGAGACCTCTAAAGCTCGGGTGTTCTCACGACTAGGAAAACTGAAACACGACAAGAGAAAACTGAAACACGACAAGGCACGGCTTATTCACGACAAGCAACCAGCAACTTCGCCACCCATTTTC